TATGTATGTATGTATGTATGTATGTATGTATGTATGTATGTATGTATGTATGTATTATGATGTATGTATATGTATATGTATGTATGTATATACATACATACATATGTGTTTGTTTTTTATTTGTGCTGATAAATAAATAACGGGAGACTAGTATAGATCTATTTCAAGCTATTTAGCTCTCATCAGCTAGCCATACCCTTACTGGGATTTGAACCTGAACCTGATGGAGGCAGTTGGCTTCCTCCCATAATTGGGGTTTACCAGGGGTTGTAAAATCTAATAGATACATACATATACATATACATACATATACATATACATATACCAGATCTGCGCAAGTGAGACCCTTTCTCTAAAACCAAGGAGGAGTCATCCCCTCCCTTTCCCCAAGGGAGGAAAAAAACATGTTTTCTGCCCGAGAGAAAAGATTTTTTTTTAAAAAAAGGGTTTTTTTTTAATTTTTTTGGTTCTTTATATACAATTATAGGTATACATTCACATAGTTGTTATTCTTTCTTACATTCGTTGTTCTTATACATTTGTCATTTCATTTGTCATTACATAACCCATAACATACGGTTTGGGTTGCTTTGTTTACCATCCCTCGCCTGTTTTGACACCATCTTCTTTTCCCTCTCTTTTCTCCCTCCTTCTCTACTTCCTTCCTCTCTCCTTTCCCTTCCTTCTTCCCTAACCTTTCCCCTACTCCTCTCTTCCTCTTCTCCTTCCTGCCCTCCCTCCTTCTCTCTTCCGTCTTCCTTTCCTTACCTCTATCTTACTTCCCTCCTCTTCCTCTCCTCTCCTCCTCTCTTTCTTTTTTCTATTCTTGTTGGTGTCTCTTCCAGCTCTTTAATTTTTATTTCCTTGGAGTGGTATTTCCGGAAACCCCAAAATAGTTAAGTATCATTTCTTGCCCCCTTTCCTTCTCAAATCTATCCTGATTAGGTCCTCCCCCCCGCTTTGTATTTTACTTTTTAATATATAAATATATTATTATTTTCTTCCCCATTCCCGCCTTACTAGAAAATAAGATGTTCTTGTGCTGCCTTCACGCGACTCGCTTAACTCGGTCAGGTGTAAACCTCTGGGCTGGAGATTCCCCCCCCCCCCAAAAAAAAAAAACCCCGCTCAGGTTGGGTCAGGTTTGGGCGGCGAAGGGAGGGCGGCTTAAAATTCTGGAAGGGAAGCCAGATCTGAGTTTAGTTTAGTTTAGTTTATCTTAGTTTAGTTTAGCTTAGCTTAGTTTAGTTTTTTCCCCGCATCTCGTGTGAAGCCAAACAATGAATGAAGCCGGCCCACGAGGTTGTGCCAAGGCAGCCTCTCTGCTCCGTAGATTACCCTTCTGGCTTCGCGAGCGGCGGGCGCAGCTGTCTCCTTGGAGCCGAGAAGCGGAGGTGCGCCTGCAGGATGTGGGTGACACAATCAGTTGGCGTGCAGCGACAACCGTCGCGCTTGGGAGGAGGGGCGAGCGCGCGTCTACTACTCGGGGTTACCGTCGGTCATCTTTCCAAGATGAGAGGGCGGGGAGGGAGGGAGAGAGAGAAAGAGAGAGGGAGAGAGGAAAGGAGGAAGAGGGGAGGATAAGGGGGAGAGAGGGGGAGGGAGGAGGGAAGGAAGGAAAGAAAGAGGGGGAAAGAGGGGAAAGAGAGGGAGGGGAGGAGAGAGAGGGAAAGGGAAAGCGAGAGAAGGAAGGCAGGAAGAAGAGGGAAGGAAAGAAAGGGGGAGAGAGAGAGGAGGGGAGGAAGGAGGGAAAGAGAGCGAGAGGGAAGGAGAGGGAGAAGGAAGGAGAGAGGAAGAGGGAAGGAAGAGGGGGAGGGAGGGAAGGAGAGGGGAGAGAGAGGGAAGGAAAGAAAGAGGGAGAAAGGGGAGGGAAGGGGGAGAGAGAGAAGGAAAGGGAAGAAGAGGGAAGGAAAGAAAGAGGGGGAGGGAAAGAGGGGAGGGGAGGAAGGAGAGAAGGAGGGGAGAAAGAGGGAGGGAAGGAGGGAAAGAGCAGGAGGGAAGGGGAGAGAGAATGAAGGAGGGAGGAAGAGGGAAAGAGAGAGAGAGAAGGAAAGAGGGAGGAAGAGGGAAGGAAAGGAAGAGGGAAGGAGAGGGGAAGGGAGAGAGGGAAGGAAGGAAAGAAAGAGGTAGAAAGAGGAGAGGGAAGGAGGAAGAGAGAGGGAAGGAAGGGAAAGAAGAGGAAAGAAAAGAAAGAGCGGGGGAGAGAGAGAAAGACCCACCCTCTTCCACCGAAGTCATTCTCTCACTGCTGACGCTCTGGGGAGACGGGTTTTCTTCCCACGCCGCTTGACAAGGAGGGAGCCGCCGCAGCTCTACACCCCCACCCCTCCGCTGACGCCACCACCGGGGCTTCTGAGCAGCTGGTTTGGCAGCAGCCACGAGGCGGAGGGAATCCTAGAGGGGGAGATCCCTGGTTGGGCCGCAGAACAAAGTGGCATTGAGGGGATTGCAGCCCTCGAGGGGTTTTAGGGCACCACTTGTTGGCTGGCTTCACACGACATTCTGGCCCTGAGGACTAAGTTAACCCTTCTCTGGTTTTCTGGAGGGCAGTCAAACAGAACCCAACCCACAGGAGCAGAGAATCGTTCAAAGTCTACCACACCTAAGGTGACCTTGTGTGAATGTGACAGCTAAAGAGGCAACTGATCTTAGAGAATCAGTGTGTGTGTAGTGATTAAGGTGCTGACCTAGAAATGAGACAGGGAGTACTATCATAGTTCTGCCTTAGGGATGAAAGCTAGCTAGGTGATTTTGAGCCAATCTGCAGGAGATTGTGAGTTCTAGTTCTGCCTTAGGGATGAAAGCCAGATGGGTGATTTTGAGCCAATCACCAGGAGCTTGGGGGTTCTAGTCCCTCTTTAAGCATGAAAGCCAGCTGGGTGATTTTGAGCCAATCTGCAGGAGATTGTGAGTTCTAGTTCTGCCTTAGGGATGAAAGCCAGATGGGTGATTTTGAGCCAATCACCAGGAGCTTGGGGGTTCTAGTCCCTCTTTAAGCATGAAAGCCAGCTGGGTGAT